CCGAAAAATCACAGCCAGTTGGGAAACGCACGTGATGTCAGTTTTCTCGTCAGACTGAATCGAAAGGAACTGGCAATTCTCAATTTCCAGAGCCAAATGTTGTAAATAAATTTTATACATTGAGTCGAGCAAATCATTTTGGATATCCTTAGATGTCCCTTTCGAAACAGTTGCGGCATCAAGATGATCTCTCAATACTGTATCTAGGGATGCGGTGTATTCCACCATATCCAAAAATACCCCTCTATTAGAAGAGCCAGCTCGTTTATCGTGCCCACGGAGGGACAGCTCGTGACAACCAATGAACTTCAAAACATCTATCAATCGACCGAGAACATGGCGGTTTTTCTCGACGTTTTGGTTGTGCCGACGAATAGAAACCGCGCGTCCTTCATCCAACTGTGCTGCAATATTAACATTTCCGAATGTTCGGTATTTTACTGCATTGTCCAGATGCTCCATAGAAGATTGATGATCCCTGGCACGCTCGGAAAGATGTTTAAGATCTCTAAAACCAAATTTACACCAACGTGAGTCACTGGCGGTAGCAAAAAGTAGGCAATAAAAACAAAAAAATGTATTTTTGTCCTCGCTGTAACACAACCATTCGTGTTTTTCATACCAAGTTTCTGCGTAGAATGTACGTCGAAGATTTCCTCCGTCATGGGATTGTTCCAGTGAACAATTTTTTGGTTGATAAGGCCCAAGACGTTGTACCTCTAATTTTTGTTCGAGCGGCAGCTTCGAAAACGGAGTGCGAAGTAGAGCATCAACCTTATTCATTATGAGGTCTAAGGCTAAGAAATGCAAATCCGGAAAGAAGTGAGGAGCTCAAAAGGAATGTGGAAAATCGAAAGCAAATGGACTAAAGGTCTCTAACTGATTCAAATAGCGAAACAAGCGACAAAAACGAAGGCGAGGAAACTATCAACTCTTCAAGCAAACAACGAACGAGAAGGAATGCAAGAATATGTCAACACGTTGTTGTAGGAAACGTCGGCATTGTGTCGTCATAATTTCGGGGCTAGCCCCGATCGGCCCCGATGATTTAGTAAAAGAAACAGAAAACAAACGAGACAAACGCGGCGAGTGGAAGATAAAAGAGAGAATACGATATACAATGAGCAACCGGGGCAAAATCGGCGTCGCACGGTCGACGTTCGGCGAAGGCTTTGCGAGCGAAAAATGAACCATGTCGGGAGAATATGGCTAGTGTAGACAGTCTGTGCAACCGATATTGAGGTATTTTTCGAATATTTTTTATTATACCAAAAAAACAACCGGGGCAGCACTTCGTTGATGGTGAGTGATAATGTGCCGTTATCAATTTCTTTTAGTATGCGTACCAGGTTAGTTAGGGTTTGATTCCAATTTCCCTATGTTTAGCTCTATTACGAGTTCGGAGACTAGGCGAGTGACTCCCGTAGTATTTGTACCTGAAATTATAGCCTAATCTTAACCTGGTACACATACAACGTTCCGGTGTCCGCCCTCTTGGTTCACATACTATTGGAGTATCCTACGATTTATATTGGATATCCGCTTTCGGAGACCTTCCTTCTCTTGTTGGATATTCGCTCTAGGAGACCCTTATTCTCAGTCGTTCTGTCTGTGTGTCGAGGCTGTAGCGTTTTAACGGCTGGAATGATCTGTAGGAAATTCTCCATGTAGGTTATGCTGTCTTAGTGTTGTGCGTTTCATAGGAAGTCCGGATTAAAGTTTCGTTTCCATGGCAACAACGAAAAAACCGCCGATCGATCTGTAATTGCCAATTTTTGTACAATTTATGGCCGTTTTCTCGTCAACCAAGACGAATATTGGAATTCCAAGAACGATACCTTCCACAGAAGAATAAATACTCTTACGGACAAGTCGTCTTCCGGCTCGATACTCCGTAAACTGGGGAAGCCTTAGGGATTTTAGTGAACATCATTTTATTTATTAGCTTCAGTATATCACTCACGCAAGAATGTCTACAAAACGTGCAGCGCTTGAATGAACTGGCAGTTTCCAGTTTCGGTAACCCGCTCACTTGATCACGCTGCCGTTATAGATTCGCAATTTTCTATGGATGGTAACCAGTTGTTTGAGAAGTATTTTATTACGTCAACCATGTCAAATAGTTTACCTGCAACATTTCAAAATTAATTTCAAGGCATTGTGACGAGGCTGTAACGAAGCGACCGTTAGGTCATCGGGTCAGTCCCAGCCTTTAAAAAATATAAAATTACCATTTTGTCAACGAAATTGAGCTAAAGTAACACACACTGAACATAAATTAACACAGAAGGAAAAAAAATCGAATATGTTAAAACCCAGTAGTTTCTTTCCCTCCTGTTAACAGCGAGAGAGATAGTGATTTATTTTCCAAATATATCAAATGTAAAACGACGATAAAGGGAAAAAACAATTATAGAATATAATCGGGAGAGGGCAGGCAAGACTACAAGGTCAATTATGTCGACCGACACCTAAAATAGAAAAATTCCTATTGGGGCAAGACATGAGAAAGGAGTCATGAGAAAAAAAAAGGCTGCGTATAGATTCTTACCCTAATTAATTACAACTTTTATTTGATGAATTACATATAACAGTTCCAAAGATATTGTAATATAAGGCGAGGGATTATTTAACAAGTTAGCTATTACCTCACAATCGTTGAAATAGGGCCTATTTGAATTAAAAGGAATGACAAAGATAGATACATATTTCAAAATTATAGTACAGTCAACTTTAAGTAAATCTCAGATCAAAAATCTAATTTTATTCAATTTGGAAAAACAAAAACATTCTTTAGTCATTTAAAATATTTCCTGATAGTTGGGAACTCGATGAAAACAGCAAGTTTCATAAGCAAATGTAGTTGATGGATATACATAAGTAAAACTGAGATTAGTGTTTTTCATTATCAGATATTGAACATTAACAAGCAATAACATAGTTTTAATGTTCAGTCGACTAAAAATATGTTTAAAATTCTCAGTTACAAGTTATTACATGGCTCGTTAGGTATGCAGTTAGGTGATTCCATCAAAAGCACAGTTACCACATTTCTATGTGTACAACACGCACTTCTGAGGCATATTATTGCCACCAGAATAAGGAGTGCGTTTTGTACATTGGTTTAGAAAATACTAAGGAAAACTATCAATATTTTACGCTAAACGGTCTAATAATATCACATATATTACTCAAGACAGTTTTTAATTGAAGTTTATTGATATAAGAACACATGCGCTTTATCTACGGATAAGTCTCATGTACGGAGAATATGGTGAATTTTATGTCATGGGTATTATAGTGAAAAAAAAATTGTATTTTAAGCCTGGTTAAAAGGGTTTATAAAATCACTTGCTCAAAAAAATATTATTGGCAAGGAAAAAGAATATCACATGAAAATTTACAAGAAACAGTTATGCATGAGAAAAATAATAAGATGGGCTTAAGAATATTTATAAAATTCCCAATATAGTCTTACATCATGTTAGACAAATAGTCGATCAATCATCAGAAGAAGGCAATTTATATGAATAGGTGAAAAAAGCTACATATCACACGTCAAAAAGTATACAGGAAAATCTAATAGCATCTTCAATAATTTTCTAGCTATGAAATGATGAATTCATATCAATTGTAAGGATTTGACAGCATACACTGACATTTGCTCATCATTGTTCCACATATTCTGCTAATAAATGTTGTTTTAATTTGCGATTGAACTATTTTAGGCTTTGCCAGATGGTGTGTGTCACTTGTAGCTATCAATATATTTTTTAAAAAGTTTAAAAAGCGAAGCATGCATAACTGTAGCCTTTAATTTCCTGACTAATTCCATTTCAAATATCCGGACATTGGAACAATATGGATTTTTGTAAAATCGAAGAGTCTGACCTTGGAACAAATAAGTTGTGCTGTGAATATATTTTGCCATGATCGTGGATTAAACTTATGTTTTGGAAATAATTCATAAAAGCATTTGGAGAACAGTTTTATTTCGTATGGTACATCAATTTTGCAACTTCATAACGATACAAGTCATTTAAATTGACAAGTTTAAGTTTATATTAGTACTGTGTTGTATGTTCGTTGTAATTGCTATTGGAAATTATGCAAATTGCTCTGTTTTGCAGTACAATGAGCTTTTTCAGATGCTGTTTTGCCGAACAATACCATATTATTATTTTATAAAACATATGTGAATAAAAGAGACTAGTAAATGTGTAAAAGAGTTTTTTGTGAGACCAATCCGTGTAGCTTAGAGTTCCAACGGCTCGTACTAGCTTTTTTGATAGTAGTTCAATGACTTTTCAGTTCAAGCAACAATCAATTTTAAGTCCCAAGTAAGAAGCTGTTTTTACTCTTTCCAGCTTAAAACCATCAAGATATAGATTAACGCTTGCATGATTATTCTTAGAAATTACAATGTATTTAGTCTTCTGGGGATTCACAGTTAGCTAGTTGGAATCCATCCATTTGCTAATCTCTGAGAGCTCAGAATTGCAATCGGTTTTCTAATTGGTGAATAGAAAATCTCGAAAGTTTGACCCTGAACAATCAACGGAGATCCTGGGCGGCTACCGGCTTGTTGTATCTATATTGTTATATTACATGTGGTATGTATCATATCGTGTATTTCTCATAACAATGATAATTTTATACCAGTTGCAATCAACACGCGGAAGCGCTTTATAATGACCTATGATGTAACACCATTTTACAAATTAGGGTCTATGACGAAATAAAGTACCTACGCAAACTTGGATGGAATTATGCTTGGCTATACATAATTCATCAAAAACCGAGCTTTATGAAGTCAATCCACGCCAAAGACTAACACGGAAATTACATTGAAAATTGCAAACTTTTTGACAGTGTGAAATTAGAAAGCGTCACCAGGACTTCCTTTGTTATTTTTGCTCATTTAGGCCGCAATGTTATGGAGTTAGTCTGATTATAAATTTTATAATACATGTTTGCTCATATAAAATGATCAACTAAGTGTAGAAATAGTATTGATAGAACAATTGCATGCGGTCACTGGGGAGGATTTTGTGCTCGGAATAAAATTAATCTGCAATGGAGGTTTTGAAGCTGTTGTTCATGTTCATTGGATTTGCCACAACAGGTGATTTCGTTTTAATATTGATAATTTATTCTCCAGAATGCTCAAGAAATATGACTGGACGTCTCTTAAAATCTCCGGAGTTGGAATTTTTAATTGTCGGAGTCGTATTTTCAAAATCTCCGGAGTCGGAGTCGTATTTTCAAAATCTCCGGAGTCGCATTTTCAAATTCTTCGGAGTCGAATCCTAGTTTTGAAATTTCCGGAATCAGAGTCGTATATTAAAAATCTCCGGATTCGGAATCTTGTTTTAAATTTTCGCGGATTCGGAGTCCTATTTTTATTTTATATTCGGAGACAGGTGTTCAGGATTTTGTCAATTCGTCAATACAAAGCAAGTTTCCGTATCAATTATTCTTTTAGTATTGCGCAAACTGATTTTTTTGTTCTTTCTTGTATGATTCACGAACTGAGCAAGGTAATGCAAGAACCGACTGACATGTAACAAAGCTCCTTTATTGGGTCTCCGCTCTAGGAGACCCTTATTATCGATCGTTCTCTCTGTCTGGTTGCCTGTGTGACAGCTCTGGCGTCTTAACGGCTGGGCCGATCTAGTTGAAATTTCACACGCGTGTTATCCTATCACCCTAGTAATGTGCGTTTTATGGAAAGTCCAGATTAAAGTTTCGTTTCCATGGCAACAACGAAAGAACGCGCCCATCGTTATTCAATTTCCAATATTTTCACAATGTATCGCTGTTTTCTCGGCATCCAAGTCGAAAATTGAAATTCTAAGAACTCTACCTTGCGCATAGCAAATACTCTTTTCAATGAGTTATCTTTGGTCTCGATACTCCACAAACTGGAGTAGCCTTACGGATTTGAGTGAAGAATATCTTCAGCCACAATATACCAGTCACGCGAGTAAGACTACGAAACGCGCAGCGTTTGAAATGAACTCAGCGGAACAAGCAGCGTACAAAATGAACAGGCGTTTTTAGTAGTGTCTCCTGTTATCCGTTAGTAAACTGAAATGATGCGAGCCTCCAGCAATGACGGAGATCCAACTGGGCGCCTTCCGGCTTGTTTAGGAATTTTCCCGGTTCAGCATTGCCTACCCAACTAGAACAGATCTTAAACGATGGGGCTCGCCCCATGAAGGGGCGTGAAGCTGATTAAAAATAAAATATTTGTTAGATATGGTCTTGCCAGATCTTTACATTTCTTTCCTTATTTACATTCCATCCAGGTATTTTTAAAGTGTTTTATGAATAAAACATTCCTTTGCTTTACTATCTGTTACTTGTAGCTTATTGTTAGCTAGGTATTTTTAAGATAGGGCGCGAGACCTGACAAATTTCAAAAAAGGCTTAAAATGTTTGAGAACCACTGCACTAGACCATCTTTGTTACAGCGCCATTTATGCAATGTAAAAATTTTGTTTGTTTTCCCTAAAAAATAAATAACTCAGAATGTTTTTTCTCCCATTCCCAGTCGATATCTCTGTGAAAGTGGAATTCAGAGGCAGTGCTGTGATGACGTCATACCGTCATGAGGAAAAGATCACGGTGAGTAATTATGGATTATATTATGCTTATTTTGATGATTATTAACTCTTTTGTAACTGACTCAACTATATTGTTTTATTTTTCAGGCAAAGAATGAGCATGGTGAGATTTGGGTTAACTTTTCACGCTATTTCATTTAATAACATGAATTTAGTTAAGGCCAACTTCGTGGCAAATTTCTGGGTTTCAGGATTCAAATCTTTTTTAATATTCGATTTTTTAAATAAAACACAACTTGTAAACGCGAAAGCTTTTGTCTTCATTTTTTTTGCGCCCAAGACACGACAAGGCACGTCTAGTATAGTGACGTAAATATTTTGTTTGATTAGTAAATGTAATTCGAATGTTTTTAATATTTGGTTCGACATTCGAATCAACTCATTGAGTGTAATTTTTGATTTGATTGATTTATAGTAAAAAAAGAAGCTTTTTTAGGAAGTACGTTCATTTTTACCTGAATCAGAACTTGATTGGGTATTTAAACTTGGTAAAAACTTTGATGACCGCAATAAATGGACCCATGTGAAGTGACCCCAACAATAAATAGTTGAGGAAACCTGATTTCATTAGTCTAGGATTAGGATTTTGTCTTTGCCTGTATTCGAAAACTGGCGTTGGAGTCAATATTTTATCAACTGGATTCCGATATACGCAATATAAAAGTAGAAATTAAAAATTTTGGTTTTGCGCAGAATTGAGAGAGAAATTGGCTAAAACGCTGGAAAATACGTTGCTGGACAAACAGATAGATGAAGTCACCATAACAACCGAAGTTTACCATGGCAACAAGGTTCATTCAACCCAAGTCACCAAGTTTGACGCAACAACTCCGAATGGACTGGATGACACGACTCTTGTTTCCACTACAAATGATAATGACATCACTAAGGCCGTTACGTCCCTTGCATCAAGAAATACTACGGAATTTCGTGACGTCACAACAACAACTGTTCTTGAAAATGTGTTCACAACTCGATCGATCACTTCTATTGCTTCCACTCAATCGTTTCAGGAGTCGACTTTGACTGCGAACACAGGTGAGACTAAGATTTTTTGTAATTATTTAAAAAAAGGAAGCTTAAACGATTGTCTACCTAGCATCATAAAATCTGTCACGATCAGTACTACATGTCAGTTTACCTGTCTCAGGGTCAAACCCCGTCTACACCACCTCACTCAGGCGGTTACAAAATGAGGGGGGAATGCCAAGGTTCCGGAACTTTCAACATTTAGCATATCCCTACCTAACAGTGGCTGGTTAGAATAGCCTTGTTCGAATGAAAGCCGTAAAAAAAACAATAACAAAAAATAACGAAAACTTACTAGAATGGATTGTTTGGCCAAATTATGACACGTGTTACTGGTGAATGTTGAACATGGGATGCTATAAGATAGCATGTTTTAACTAACGAGTTTATACATCTAGATTTCATATCACCTCATCATCATGGTCATAAATGGGTGGTCGATGCTAAATCCGGAAGATTCCTGTCCTTGTGCAGAAAATATTACTCATTTAGACTTACAGAATATAATATTACTTTGTCTAGCAGTGACGGTTTGTGCAGATATTTATTTGGAAGGCCGTATTAGAACGTGGTCAAGTCAACACAAGTTCACTTTTCCAAACTAGTAAGACAAAAATCATACAAAAAATAAGGAAAAAAATGATATTTACATTTCTTGGGAAAGAAACAAAAATAAATGATACATCTTAGTAATTGTCTTCTGAACGTCTTCCTTGAAACTCTGTTAACTGTGATTTTCTGTTTTTAGAAAAGTGCGACGTTTCTTACAAGTCGAAATGTTTTCGAGTTATTGTTAAAGACAAAAGGAACGTCACTTTGGGCGTTGCCAAATCTCTTTGCAAAAACAAGCTGGCTAATATTTATGACGTCACACACCTCAACCTACTGAAAGATTATTTACGCCCAATGATTCCTGATCGGCGAAAATGGATTGTAGTTCGTACTGGAATGAGTTACAAGGTGAATCAGTATATTATCAAGTCTGAAGAATTGCGTTGCTAATGTGGTCTTACGTTAAAATATGGAATTCTCAACAAAATCAATTTGTGAAATATTGTAACCTTATTTTATTCTCCAATAAATTTTAAAAGTGAAAACTTCAGGTGAAAGAGAATCCAAAATTGCATGAATTGCTTGTGTCAGCGATTCCCAGTTGGGTCAATAATATAAAACAACACTTCCGTCTCTACTTAACTATGGTCCGGGTAATGTAAAAATAATGACTCCGACTCCAACAATAACATCAAACTACAACTCCCTTTTGTTTGCATTGGAATAGCCTACTAGTTTATATCGAATCAAACCTATTTGAAATATATTCACAAATTGTAAATTTGTTTATGGTATATTTCTCAAAATAATATATTTTATTTTAACAGAACGGCACACTTTATTCGGTGAATGGTCGAGTTCCGTCTCTGTCCAATGAGGCGTGGGAAACTAGATTTCCGCGACCCCCCTATACATCAAGAACAGCTATTGCTGTACGTGTCTTTCAAAACCAATCGTACAATGGAGGAATTCGCAATACCTATCCTTCCTATTCACATCATGGAGCCATCTGTGAAAATGATTTCTAACGTGAGACATAGAATGTTCACTCAACGAAAAATAATTCAAATAACTGTTGTCCACATATATAGCCCAATCAAAACTCTAACTCGGGGATACGATACAGATGGAGTTTGGGCCAACTACAAAACACGTGTATGCAACGTTTACTTCACTGATATTTTTGTTTTTCGTACTTGTTGAACAGTTTTAAAACCAAAAAATCTTTCTTTCTCGTCTTTTATAACCTCTTGGTAGCCATCAGAAATAAATAGATCACGATAGGCATGTTGCAAGTTATATGTAGGCTTGCCGGGACAGTTCCGGTTTTGACAAGCTGCCCTGGTGCCCCGCCCGGTAGATTTAATATTCCTAATCATGCAATATGACAGTCATAAATATTTGTTCATTAAATATCGATACAAAAACTTTTTTGTTAATGGAGGGAGGCCATTTATTACTGATTTTCAATTTACTTCACTAGTTTAGTGAGAGAGAGAGAGGACTACTACATTGTTACGTCATGATTATTATAGAGGGTGTCCATAAAGTCTCTTTACAATTTTAAGTTTGTTATCAAGTCAATTCTCAAAATATCTTAACCAGGTTTGTTGTTTTTAATCAGTATTCGTTCAAGTATTTTTACTTCATTTAATACATCTGTGAGGGCCAAAACAGTATATGGTATCGATGAATTCCCTTTGCAATTTAAAAAGAGACTTTTTGGACACACTATATGTTATTACGTCAATTTAACATCCAGCGTTGAATTATTCAAAATGTAGAAAAGAATGTTGCTTTCATATGATTTGAATATTACTAAGCTTAGGAATCGAACCAAGGACTGTTCAATCCGCACTGTCCCGTTTTTTTTTGTTTCATTTATATGATAAGCCATTTATAATTTTAAGTTGAAAAGAAAGAAACTGATATATCGGTGACCATGTTTCCCTATTCTCTTTCTTCACGCAATTAATTCAACTGAATTCTCTTCAATAAGCTTATAAGCTGAAACAATGTACTTGTATCCATTTTTTTTGGGCTTTATTGCATATGCATTTCATGAATTTCGTTTGTTTTATTACTATTCAATATGCTATTTTTATTGTATTCCTTGGATGTGTTTAACTAAAGAAAGTTTAACTAAAAGAATTAGAAAGCATATCTAAAGCGAAACAAACAACCTCTACAACCATGAAAACTCTAAATTTATTATTTTAACCTAATTTGTTCCTGAGTGAATGATAAATAGGTATTTACTAAATAGTTTGCGATTCAGTTTGTCTTAATATTCATTTGTTTTTTACTTCAACATTCTAGAAAACTCAATTATTTCCAAAACAATTTAGACCGTAATGAATTACTCTATCAATTTTTCTTTATTGTTTTATTATTTATAATATTTTATTTTTTCGAAATTTTTTGACGTTCGGAAATAATTTTCTAGAACGTTATCACTAAATGAAGTTTAAAGTAGTCCCCGAGACGGAAATTAATGGAATAGTCAAATATCATGGACATTGCCAGGATAGCTTAATTCTTAATTGGGTGTCTCGCGAAAATACCATGCCTTCACGTCTTTAAATCGTTTCACAGAAAATTAGCCTTTATTTATGCAAATCAATCTTAACTTTGCTAAGTTGTACGACAAACAAGACAATATTTGAGTAGATCTGAAAAATGCAATTCATGCTTCCTATAAAACCTAATATTATAAATTGTTTGTTTATGCGTCTTTACGTTATTTTTACGTTTGGGAAGGGTTCAAAACAGGGGTGTGCAACCTTTTTTGTCGAGTGACCATATAATCACCTTCAGGCATCTTGCTGGACCATAAAAAAACAGTTTTACCATGTACACAACACAATGAATTAAACATTAGCGGTAACCAGTGCGCCGCGGGAAAGGCAAAAGAAGAAAATGCGGCTATCGCTTAACATTCCAGTGAAAAAGGTACAGGGCAAAACTGCGAAAGATTTAACGCAGAGACAAGAGCGAGAATTATTGAGTATTTTTGTCAACATGGGGGGCTATTTAAAAATAGACTGTGAGACTAGGATTTTGCGCTTGATACGGAAAAGGGCCACACCAAATGTCTGTGGCCCGCGGGCCGCCAATTGCACACCCCTGGTTTAAAATGACTGAAGTTTTTCATTGAGCCACCCTACTTTTGTTTATCTATTTTTATTCTATTTTGATAGGTCACTCTGTTCTATTTGAGAAAATTTTGAAAGATTTTACTATGTTTTATTTAGCAAATATTAAATGTTGAATAAGATATAAATTGCATTTTGAGTTCTATCATTTTCATTATGCAACTTGAGGGGACATTTGAATGGAATACACGAAGTTCTTGTCAGTGATGGGCATAAGTTATTATTGTCTTTCGTGTTTATAATAGATATGAAATAAATGGCATTTTGAGTTCTATAATTTTACTCATACAACTTGATGAGACATTTGTATGGAAGGCATGATGTTACTGTCAGTGATGGGTACAAGTTATTGTTGTCTTCTGGGTTTAGACGACACACAACTCTTATTAACAATATTTTCGCATTACTTAGACGGCGGAGGGAGCCCTATGTTAACCAACCCACGACAATGAGATTTTCAGCAGGGACTTGGCCAGGAATTTCCAAATTGAAGGGGGGGGGGGCACTTCCTTGTTCAATTCCTGATTTTGTATAGTCTACCATAACAGCTAGCTAGTGTATGATGGAATAAAGTGTTTTTAATTTCTATTCTCAAAAGAGGGGTTCTGAGCCTCAACCCCAAAGGCTACACGCCTATATTCCAGCAATCCTATCGCAACTGAATATCCTCACGATATTGAAACCTGAAACGTACAAGGTTAGTCACCGTTTGAAATGATATGCTGGTTCCTAGCGCTTAGCACGTCCGTTGACTCCGTTTCGAGCCAAAATTATAGCTCCAAAAACAAAAACTCAAGACATTCCAAGAACGTTCGTGCGCCCCCTTGAATGTCACCGCATTTCAATCATATTTATGCTTTATATCGCAAGTACCGTATATTGTTATATTATAAGTTATTAGTCCGGCATATAAGAAGACCTTTTTGGCCCAAATTTGATTTCAGACATAAAGTTTTTTTTATTTGTGATTATTCATCTTGGGGTCATTGCCCATCATTTCTACATGGGTGTGGAGTTTGCAGCCTTGAGCATTTTTTTACGGCTCGATATTTGTATTAGTGTTTTTCGTCAAACCTTTGCATCATAATGACGTACAACCTGAACCATAACCTGTTACAATACTATGTTCAGGTTGTGCGCAATCTTGGTGCACAAACTACGCAGGCACCAAATTCACTAGGAAATAAAATCAATAAATTTTAGGTATTTATTGAGATATTTGTATTAGTGTTTTTCGTTAAACATGTGCATCATAATGACGCACAACCTGAATCATAACCAGTTACAATAATATGTCCAGGTTGTGAGCAATCTTGGTGCACAAACTACGCAAGCACCAAATTTACTAGGAAATAAAATCAATAACTTTTAGGTATTTGTTGAGCCCAGCTTTGGGTCGCGACCCATATACAGTATATGGAAATACTGTCGAAACATAAGCGTAAAATAAAGAGTACTATTTCAAAATAACCGTTTTTGTTGCAATTAACAATACAAGCCTGCTAATGAAGTCGCCAGTGGTTCAAGTGGATATACACCCGGTGGAGAACAGTCAATTATTTGTTAGCGAGAATTGTTATGCAGCGGGATGATCACGACGACGCAGTGAAAGATAATGATATCACGAGAACAAGAATGAGAAAATTGCTACAGTATACAGCTATAGTATATCCCTGGGAAAGAATGTATTTCATTCTTATGTTCCATGCCAACGCTTTTCAAACTACCAAAGACTCTCAACACATTTGCTTCTTCTTCTCTATAAAAAAACATTGTTATTATATATTCGCATTTCCATCTGTTTGTTCGTGCTCCCAGATAACCGATCAGCGGGGTCCCCTTCAAAGTAACCCTGTCATAAACTAAAAGAGGCAACCGTGCTTCTCTTGCCTGTTGTCATGCTGTCCCTGGAATCCAGCTGCAACAAAAATTTCACGAAAACGGATTTTTAAATTTTATTAATATTCTCAACAACGAATGATATACGGGTGGTAAAAGGACAAGTATTTCCAACAACATGATCAATTTTTGCAATTTACAACCAATATTTTGCATGTAACTTTTTTTGACAGAGCTCTAACTACAAATATCAAAAATGTGAGGCCAAAAAAGTCACACTACAACATTGTCAAATGTGCTGTAATTACGATAGATAACAGGTTTACCAAAAAGAATTACATGAAAAATGGTAAAATAAAGATCAATTCAGCAATATCTACTTGGTGATATGCATCTGTTGATGATTTTATGTGTTTGTTTCGGAATTTTGATAACAGAATTAATTGTGGTTGTTGGGGATGTTTTAAAAAAAGGTTGCATAGAAAAAAGTTTTCACAAAATGTCAAGGTTTGATAGTAGTAGAGAAGTAGAAAAAATATTCCCATGTTGTTTTTTTTCATTTGATAACCACGCCACAGAACTTCCCCAATAAGTATACGCAGCAATTGCGAGAGGAAGAAATGCCAAGATGGGAATTCATCGCATTGCAAACCAATATTAGCAATTCTTATATATATTCGCGCATTCCCATCTGAACAGCGTGGAAAAGATTATACCCATCTACACACTTTAAGAACTATGTCAGATGAGCGGCATATTATTGAATATCAGTAAAGGAATATTGCAATGGGAAAAGACATATAAGGCGGAACTTTCAGTAGTATGCAGACAAATAATTTTATTGTCGAATATATATTTAAAAACATTTCGTCACGCCAACTGCAGTCCGAAACTTTTTGTCTCTGGCTGAGCTTAGATACCAATTGGCACTCATGTAAACTGGTAATACTGTAAGAGGCACGCGATGGAGCAGATAATAAGAGTATCCATCCCCCAGCTGTCATTTGAGTGGGCACTGCTGTTTTTATTGCAGA